CAGGATCGTGTGATGGATCCATAAGTTGCCTCAGTCAGGGACATCATCTTCAGGCCTGGAATCTTGCCTCTTTGCTGGCTCTTCTTCGGCTGAGGTTCAGGCCTAGACGATGCCTCTGAGCCGGACGCAGATGGTGCGCGAAACGGTTTTGGCAGATTGGAAAATCAAAAAACGCTTCCTGCAACGTGCATGCTTGGTCGCTGATACGATGCTTGTGGCGAGATGCGCCGTATGTGCCACTAATCATGTAGGTATCATCGCCCTGCTTGGCATCACTATGAGCAGTTACGGCTTAAGAATGGCTTAAGAACTGTATCTTCACCAATTATCATGATGACCCTGCCATCCGCTTGCCCCCTCCCCCTTCCCTTTTACGACCCGCCATTGCTACCTGCCAACACCAGCACCCAATCGGTGTTTGTCTTCTTCTGAGAAGGTCGGCCCGCCTTGTGGTAACTCTTGCTGTGGTACCACTCTTGATATGGTTTCCATCGTTGCTATTGTTTCTATGGTTAAAATTCTCGGATGCGGCTCTCTCGCGGTAGAATCTCGTCTGCATCTGCCCTCCGGATCTCGGAAGGATCCTGGGATGCTCCACCTATGGCCGGCCGGATCTCGTCGAACGCGCTCTCGCTCCGGAGGTGCGCGCATGCGGCGCAGAAGGTTTTGGACTTTTGGCTTCCCGCTCTAGGGGTTGCGATTTGTGGTTTCCGAGAGCGAGAGAGAGAGAAAGAGATTCAACCAACCTGCTCGTCCAGCACAGCCGACTTCTCATCAACAGTCTTGAGGGGTCGAGTGCGCGAGTCTTCAACAGCAGGGCTTATGTCGGGAGACGGAAAGATGATGTTTGAGGAATGTCGAATGTGGCGATCGTCTGAACGACGCCTCGGGGTGGTAATTCTGCCTGTTGCATCGTGGATGTCTCACCTTCCACCATACTCCCGAGAACTTTCGGCCATTTGATCTGAAACCTTATGCGGGGGTCCTTAAAGTAAGGATCCCAGGGTGCTGTATTAGGCTCCCTTGTTTTCGGAAACTCCCATATGGGGGGGAATTCGTAATCGGAATAGACTATGATTCTGTAGGAAAGGTCCCCCCATGTTCGGAAACTCCTAGGTACGTGCTGACTACCTGGGCAGTGGTGCCATCTTCGCAACACCCACGAAGCGGAGCTCTTCGGCAAAGGAGCGCCGTTGAGTGGTAGAGGTACTTAAAGGATCATGGGACTTAGTAACTATAGGGTTCCTTAAAGGGCTCCTTAATAGGGATCTATAAAGGTTCTACAAGAGGGTTCCTAGGGTACTTAAAGGATCATGGGACTTAGTAACTAGGGAAATATTTAGGGCAACTAGACTTATAGCCCCAATTAAGGTACCTGTAACTTTACTTCCTATGTCCCATGATCCTCCAAGTAATATAGCAGTCAGAGTACCGGAAAAAACAGCAGTTCCTTAGGGTTCCGAATCATACTTGTAGGTAGCACAGCAGTCTGAGTCTGAGTATTTGGTAGTAGTATTCCTGAGGGTCCCTAATTCTATTTATTATTGTGAGTGATAGACCAAAACACCTATTGTGATTGCAAAGGCCCCCCCGATATGAGCCATAGTCAACCAGGTATATAGGTAGACTTTGATGTTTACTTCCGGGAACCATGCTGCGGTTTGGAGTTGCAGTTCTGTGGTTTTTGGGCTGCTGAAATCGGGCTGCTCGGGCACGCTGCGCCACTGCTCAATAGTTGCAGAATGATTCCATGCAGCTCGCATTTCATACGCGCAACAAAAGTGCTGTTGCTGATCGAAACATTTTCTTCCATCTACGCTGACCGCTAGTTCTGCTTCTTCTGTTCCTGTTTCTCTGCTGCAAGGATTCGTCGTCGCAGTTGGAGTAGCAGTAGTAGCAGCAGTGGCGGTGGTGGCGGGGGTGGTGGTGGTAGTGGTAGTAGCAGTAGTACTAGAAATCGTCGTCGTCGTAGTGGTAGTGGCACCAGCAGCAGCAGCAGTGATAACGGTGGTGGTGGTGGTGGTGGTGGTGGTGGTGGTGGTGGTGGTGGTGGCGGTGGTTGGTAGTGGCACCAGCAGCAGCAGTGACAACGGTGGTGGTGGTGGTGGTGGTAAGTAGCCTTCTACTGCATCAATAGTAAACAGGGGTAACAGGGGCGGCAGCAGCAGCACTCCAAGTACTCGAAGTACTAGCAACGTCAGCATCGAGCCCGCAGAAGCACAGGGCCTGGATCATCTTCCCGAATTGCGAAAGCAGGTGGACAAGCAGGCACCTTGGGAGAAGCCTTTGGATCAAGTTTCGGAGCAGAATCTGAGAAGCTCAGTGGTTTTGGGACTCGCATATTTCACCGCCACGGATCTTGCTGTACTCGACGGGAAACCAAAATCCGTTAGATGTTTCGAGGGCCTGCGGTTTGCGCGGCCATTGAGGCTGCCATTGAATTTTGGCAGAGACGGTCGGCACCGTTGCATACTTTGAGGCTTCTCCGTTTAGCAAGATTCGCTTGGCTCCTAGTTGTCGTCTGTGCATTCAACATGGTTTCTAGTCGAAGCACCGCAGGTATGCCCGTCTGTTCACGACATTTCACGACTTACAAGATTCAATCTGTTTTGGAAGGTTCGGGATACGGTATTGCCCAAGAAGCCATCTGCCAGCATCAGAACATCGTGAAGCTTTCTCAGATTCAGTCAGAATTCGGCACAGAAATCATATCGCAGACCGCTCACCAAGGTTCAAAACACCTCTTTTAACCCGAAACCTGCGCGTGATACCTGCAGGACTTCTCTGTAGAAGAGTTGCGAGTAGAACCGCGAACCAGACAAAATGAACATTCACGCCGGGTCGTCTGGCGGGTTGCGCTAATTTTTTGAGGTGTATGTAGTCGCAGCATGCTACCAATTTGGGCCAAGTCCCAAAGCCCGTGGAAGTCGCTCAGGGACGGAATTCGAGGCCTCAAACCAAAAAATCCCAAAAGACCTAAGCACCAAACCCCCTACAGTGGCATCGTGAGTCCAGGTGACAGCCAGCTCTGCTGCTGAGAGATTACACTGTGCGCATGGACCGTTTCACATGGGTACACAGACGCATGTACGGTTAAGTTGTGCCATGTATGCGATGTTTGCGAAAGGCCTTTTGTGTGCACATCTGCGTGCATGTGTCGACGCAAGGAGAGGTAGGTAGGCTGGCGGATGGTCATGTGCCACGATCCTCGAATGGCACATCACATAGTCTGAAGCACGAGGACTGTAACATGAAATGACTGGTTCATTGGTCGTCTTGTTCGAAAGATGCTACTTACAACCCCTATATAACCCTAGACCCTAAACCTGCATGTCGTTTAGTCTTTTCCTCCATTTTCTGTCCTTGGGAGGCCGAGGGCCGTCATGTTCCGATCGTTGCCATTGGTGGGGTCGCAAGCTCAGCCTTGTTCTGTGCGTCGATTCCATGGGCAGTCTACTATAGGGGCCTTAATACTGACTAATACTCGTTTGGGGTTCCTTATTGCAATTATAGTACAATGGGCCCCAAATCCCATGCTTCGCCTTGTTTGCTTGCGAAGCTGCTTACAGAAGCTCTCAGTTTCGATGTCCGAAGCCTTTGGAGAGCTGAGAGGTCGATGCAAAGTCTGCTGCGGACTGCGTCCGGCGCGGCGTGGATGGCGTGGCAGTGGTCAGCCCTGTCGAAATTTGTGTTGCAGCTCTTTTCGGCGGGCGTTGGGTACTGCCAGGTTCGGCATGGTTTCGCGGCGATCGGCGCTGCTGTACATTACATTGATTGGTGGTAGCTTAGTTTTCGGCATGGGTCTTAAGGCTTGTTAAAACAATCGCATGCTGTAGGTGGAAGCCTAAAGCCAAATTCCTGACATTGCCATCCTTGTCCTCTGTAAGCCCGACGATTTCCTGCGAAAGGTACGTGGGCTGCTCCAGACAGACTCTGCACAGGAGACGGAGAGCTTGGCCAAGGCCCAACACACCGGCATAAGCGGCTTTCGGGTTCAGGGAGATGCAGCCGCAACGTATCAATGTCATGCCGGTACTCACCCAGTTGCACCTCACGCTTCGGTATATCGGACATATGACATACGCAAACTCACGTGCTTTTGTTGTGCGCGCAGTTCGTGTGTATACTGTGTATGCGCATAGACACTCATGTAAACATGTACACGCAAACGAATATGTATATGCAGTACAGGAAAACCTTGTTAAACAACAGAGTCGAGCTTGCAAATCATACACTCCATGGCTTTCGGTTTCGTTGCACGTGATGGCTCGGTTTCTATCTAAAGCATTGCATGCCAGAACATTTGGCGCACTTTCTGTCTGCTCTTCTATGTTGTTTGATGTACGTGTGGATGTAGATGTAGATCTAAGTAAGTAAGAATGTATGTATGTGTGTACGTATGTATATGTATATATATATATATATGTACACATATGTATGTAGTCACACGCAATGTACATAGGCTCGCGGGCAGGTGGATGGGTAGGTAGACAGGTAAGTACTTAAGTAGGTAGGCAGGGATGGGTATGTGTACGGACGTGCTGAGTAATCAATAAGCTGATCAATCCAAACAAGAGCTGATCGTTCAGCAAATGCCAAGCTGTAAAAAATTGGTACACGACTGAATAGATGCAGTTTTTTCTACACCTGTATGTCCATAGACTGCATGGAGATACTGATAGGAAACAGTCGGGTTTGCAAGGAGATCCCCGACTGGCCCACTCCAGAACTTCCTTAATTGATAGTTATGTTACAAATAAAAGTCATGCTAGCAATAGCATTTCTATAAGGGTAATGCTGTACACAGATTTCTTGACCTCTGCTGCCCAGGTGTTGTGCGGTGAGGTGCAGCGAGCACTGAGTGAGACTGGGCAGGTCAACTGACCCTGCGGAAAAGAATTCCCAGTTTCGTCATGCTGCACGTATGAGGCATGCAATTTGAGATTCGACCATCAACCCCAAACCCTAAACCCTTAACCAGGACATGGTCTGTTGCATTCATGGTCTGTTGCGTCCTTGGCTGCGCATGCGCAGGTGTGCCGAGGCCCCGACCATGTCACCGACAAAGGCCATCGATGGTATATAGATGGAATTCCAAATCGCTGGTTTTCAATAGTTAGGTTTGCAGGCTTCTTGAAGCGATTCCCCCAGGTGTCCCACTTCTGCTCCCATCGCCGGGATTTCTACCAGAGGTTCTGCCCTCTCTTTGATGTCCTTCGTCATGTTCAGTGAGCACATCTGTGCACGCACCCATATGTATGCATGTCTATAAGTACACCCATCTTCTACATGCTTGCTTGCTTTCTAGATATGCTGCCACTTTATTTACTCGGAAATTTGTTTTCAAGGACTTTGTGTCACGGGCCTGAGCAAGGCATCCTGTTCCAAAGCAGCTCCATATGTAGCTCGCAAAAATTACGTTTGCCAGGACAGTGAGTACCCACGAGTCCTCTGTTTTTAGAGAGCCTAATTTCGAGCTGGTCACGAGAGCTGTGCTGCGCTTTGGGTTTAGAGTGTTTTTTATTGATTAGCTGTTTCGGGGTTTTGGGTTCTAGGGATTTATCTTTTCAGGTTTTAGTGGTGCGGGTTTGTGGGGAAAGCGCTTGGAGTCGAAACTGTTGTAGGACTCAAAGGCGACGGAGAGAGATCCTTTTGATATGTTCAGTGCAGGTCACGAATCCGGTCGCTGTCCAAACGCCACCGCCGAAGGACACCTCCAAGGTGCGGAAAGGAAGTTTTGCTGTGATGACCCCAAACCGCTAGGGTTCAGGATCTGGGTTTTTTGCAGGAACCTGCTTCAGCGACTCTTGGTTCTTAATAAAGTTCCCAGTCTGGATCCGACTATTTCGGGGGATAGAGAACCCGAGGGTTCTTCGTCAGGCTTTTGCACCACCGGGTAGGACTTTGCGGGTGTTGAGCTTAGCGACGGCTTGAGGTCACCTGAAGCCCTGGTAAGCCGAAGTGAAGGGCATGAACAGTATCCACACATCCACCGAACTGGAGGATGTGCACGTCTTGCATCAAGTCTCTGTGCCATAGGAAGTATTATGTAGTACATAATTAAAGTAGCAAATAAACCAATAAATAACTCTCTCTCTCTCTCTCTATATATATATATATATGTGCATAGGTAGCATATGATATGTGATATCTAGAACGATATCTGAGACTTGCAACAGTAGCAGAGTTCCTATTCCTATTCTCATTCCATTCCCATTCCTAGTCCTCTTCCTCTTCTCATTCCTATTCCTACTTTTTCTACTACTATTCCCATCACTGGTACTGGCTTCCTTCTTCTGTTGTTACTACTCTTGCTACCAGTATATTTGTTACCATTATCATTACTACAGTCCACTAGTACTACTATTGCTGATGTGCCTTAAACCCTAAACCCCTAAACCCTAAACCCCTAAACCCTAAGCCCTAAACCCCTAAATCCAGGCTGATCTTGAGACTCCGGAGAAGTCGGCCTGGGCCTCATGGCCGAGGGCGCTTTTTGCCAAGCCGTCGATCCCAAGTCCGAATCGGGGTTTCGGGTTTTGGGGTTCAGGGTTTGGGCATAGGTCCCTAAACCCTAGTGTAGGGTTTGGGGTTTTAGGTTTAGGGAGCTATTTGTGTTGTTATGACCGTGACGATGACGGTGATGATGGTGCTGTAGCTCCCATTTAAAGGACACAAGAGCAAAGCATCAAACCAGTCTCTTAAGCCGTAAACCTGAAGACCATCAGTCCTGGAACTTGAGCCCTACGCCCCAAACCCCGAACCCGAAAACCCTGAACCTCAAACCAAAACCCGAAACCGTGAACCCAGCGCCCTAAAGCCTTCAACCCTACAAAACTCAACCCTATCCGGGCCAGGCGGCGCCTCGGGGCGTAAGCTCGAGCCCAAGCCCGCAGAAGAGGGCCAGGGACTGAGATGCTGGAGCGGCTGTTTCTTCGAGTGGGGCCCTGAATGGAGAGAGCTCCAAGCGCCAAGGATGAGGGCAGGAAGTTGGTTGAGAGCGGCTTTTGGATCTCGGCTGTTTTGCTGGGACTTCACACTGAGTCTGGGAAAAGAGGGTGCTGGGACGTCTCCCCATATACTAAAAGCCTCTAAGCCCCTAAACCCCTACCAAACCTCTACACCCCTCGAATCCCTCGACCCCGAACCAGATCAGGAGGCTCGAAGCTTTACTCGCCGAAGCCACGGAACTGGTCAGAAACACTCCGCGACCCTAAATCCTGACCGAATACAGGCGTTTAGGGTTCAGGGTTTAGGGTTTCGGGTAGCTAGTAACACTATCCCCTTCTAGTTCCTGCGAAATCAGTAGCAGATAGCCCAGAACCCACACGAAATATTGAGGCCCTGAGGCCACCAGAAGAGGAATCCCACAAGCCCTGCTAAGGCCCGCTAAGGCCGAGCCTCAGAGCCCTTATTGACTTAATGGAGAAGCCTCCCCAAGAATTGCCAACAGTGTTCCTATGTCTTGTTATAGCACAAGCATAGTCTACCCGAAAACCCTAGTCTATATTGAGGCCCCTAAACTAGGTGCTGAGGCATTCATTCGTACGGTCGTAGGGCTTACGGTTTAGGGTACCGCCGATTGAATCCCTAAGCCCAACAAAGCCCACAGTACACTATGTCACAATCTATTGTTTTTTGTGTTATACTGTGCTAGCCTATATTCTGCAGCATTGCCCAACCTTCAAAAACCGCTTTCTGTGCAACATTCATGCAAGGCCACCTTGGCCATGAGTGCCCCAGGTGCAGTGGGAAGCTCGGCCTCTTGCAAAAGCTTCAGAGGTCTCACTTGGTGGTCTGGTCAGAAGGTTCTAAATACGGCAGTCAGATTTAGTGTGTCTGTGGTTAGGGTCTTAGGATGTAGGACACTTAGGGCGACAAGGATCGGAGCTGGAGTGCTGGCTTGTAACACCATAGCAGCAGGAGCCTAACTAACCGCAGGTCATGTTCAATGCCATCCTCGTCCTCAGCCTCGTCCCCGTCCTCGTCCTCCTCCTCCTCATTCTCATCCTCACCATGATGGTGATGGTCATCACCAATCAACAACAACATCATCAACATCATCATCACCACCATTATCGCCATCATCATCAGCATCAGCATCACCATCAGCATCGGCACCACCATCAGCATAAGCGTCGACATCCGCATCAGCGTCATCGTCATCATCATCTTCATCGTCATCATCTTCATCATCAGCACCATCAGCAGCAGTAGCAGCATCAGCATAATAATCGTCATCGCCGTTGCCATGGTCATCATCATTGTCATGTTTACAGTATACAATCATCACCAACATCATCATCTTCTTCACATGCATGTTTGTCATTCTCGTCATCAGCGACGTCGTCACATTCCTCCTCCTCATCGTCATCTTCCTCATCGCCACCATCCATCATGCTCCTGGTCTTGATGATGATGATGATGATGATGGTGGTGACCATCATCTTCACATTATCATCAGCTTCATGTTTCGACAGGAATTGTGTTTGTAAATATGAGTCAATATTACCTGAAGCCCATCTGGGTTGTCTGAGAATTCTGCTTTGCTAAGAAGAGGAACATCAATGGCGGGAACCCTGCCAAGCAAACTTTGCTTGTTTCGAGGTTCAGGTCGTGAAAGTTACACCTGGCTACGAACCGATCGTGCTCAAGAAGAAGTTGGAAGAGTGCGGTGCCCGGCATGAGCGATGAACTCGTTGCAACAACCTGTCATGTTGCAGTGAAACGACATCACAGGTTTTAGGGGTGCATGGTTGAGGGTTTCGGCCCTTTATCTTGAGGCTTTAAGAATTCAGACCCCGTCTTGTCCTGGGAATGCTTGCATGCGCAGCAGGCTTGCTTCGCAGGTCGTCGTGACGGCATGGCAAGCCTGAACTTGCAATCCTACTCGACTTTGTAGCGCTCCGACGCTGTGCTAGAATATGCCCTTCTGAATCCTGCTGTGGCCTGTGCCATATGGGCGATTATAAGACATTATAAGTATACGGGTACTGTAAGACTATAAGTTTTGCTATTTTATGGGTACACCATCGCTTACTTTTAAGTGTTTAACCCGAAACCCTAAACCCAAAACCGACGCCGTTTCTCCGTGGCTGGCCGCTCGAGGCACGATGTGCCGCTGCAAAGCAGCGAGCTGCTTCTGCCGCTCCTTCAGCAATGGGGTGTGGCACTGAGAACTTCTGTATCTTCATGGGGGCCTTGAAGCTAGACTAGTGGGGTAATTGTAGGATGTGTTCAACGCAGTTCAAGAAGTAGACTAGGGTTTGGCTTGGCGATTGTTTTATCGTATTTCGTCATTTTTGGGACAGGAAGGAGATTTGGCTTCAAAGAGCTCCGATCAGCCCGAAGCCAGGGTTGCTGTTCACGAAGGTTTCGAGCTTGAATCTTATCGTCACCCAGATTCTAACCCTTCTAGTTCGTGATAGCGCATATAGCACCCTCATGATGGCTTACCTGTGGTTTGGGCCGGGGATCTTGTTTAAATGTCAGGAGCAAACAGTCCCCTCTTGGAGAGCTTGTGCAAAAGCTGTCCCCTTCGCAAGCGACATGTCACAACCGTCGTGTAGAGCTTTCCTCAGGCCTCCGAGTAGTCGTGCAACCGGACCACGCGAGAGCAGCATGGCGCATGGGCGGCAGGATAGGAATAGATGTGCTGCAAGCTTTGCATCTCCGGCATCTTTGGCAGTCCGAAACGAAACATCCCCAGTCGCGACAGGCTCAGCGCGCCTGCAGCAGGCATTGGAAGAGCGGCTCTTTGAGTTGTCTGGTGTGGTATGTCGTGGTTTCGAGCCGGACGCGCCTTGCAACACAGAGTGCTGATGATGGTCATGGCGATGAAGATGACGGCAGTTTTGGTGATGTTGAGCATGATGATGATGATGACTGCGGCAATCAGCATCATCATGATCATGGCCATGAGCAGCATATTGGTGAGGGAACTTGAGGTGGTGCTGGTGAGGGAGATACCGAGGTATTGGCATGGAGGCCGCTCAAGGTTTCCCGCATGTTTGGCTGCGTGGTTGCGGCTGCTATGCGGATCTAGCATGTTTTCAAACCGTTGCACACTCGACAGCAGAGAGAGAGAGAGAGAGAGAGAGTGTGTCTGTGTGTCTCTGTGTGTGTGTGTGTGTGTGTGTGTGTGTTTGTGTGCATGAAAATGTGATATGTACACACCTGCATATATATATATATATATGTATATACATATACGTACACATGCATGATCGTATGTGCACACATACACCTATATACTGTTATGTCACATACTAGTCTTTTCTGCCCTATGCTATTCTGCTGCATTGTACTGAATTAAACTATAAAGCAGTATTTTTATTCAAGCAGCACAACATAACATCAAATTATGTTGCATTATATTCGATTTTTAGTATATGGTACGATATTCTATCACACTATGTTATATTAGTATACATATAGGTTTATCATGTATGCATGTATTTATGTGCGTGTCTATAGATTCCTGTACATACGCGCCCATATATTTATATATATATATGCACATCCATACACACCTGTCTGTATGCGTGTGCATGTATGTGTGTGTACATGTATGTGTACACTTGCAAATGTTTGTTTGTATACACATACATGCATATGTAGTTTTGATTTATATATACACACACACACGTATAGAGAGAGAGAGAGAGAGAGAGAGAGAGAGAGAGAGAGAGAGAGAGAGAGAGAGAGAGAGTGAGAGGGGTGAGTGAGTGAGTGAGTGAGCGAGAGAGAGGGCCACAGCCCCGGTCGCCCTGCAGGTGCTAGATCTCTGGAACTTCCTAGGGGAGGGTTCTGCAGGCTCCAAGTCGGGGGCCCTGCAATCGCCCTGGGGTTCAAGCGTTTTGGGCGTGGCTGGGAGTTGTGAGTTTGTGCTCCAAACGAGACACCGCACAAGTCCTTTACACAAGCAATCAGAGCACTAAAACCCTGAATCCATGACCCTGATCTAGTCCCAACACCCTTAATCCCCTATATATCCTGAAGCCATCTGAAGCCCTATCCCTGGCCAAGGTCGTGCAATCTCAACCCACTCAGCGATTCGGCATTGAGCGTGTGGGGCCCGCGAGGCATCGGATTACGGATCACTTTGAGGATTCTACCAGGGCTGCTCTCAGGGTTCCAAGAAGGTTTCTATACTGTAGAGGTTGCTGTACGGGCTACTTAAGGGTCACGATCAGGGTTCTGTTGGATTGGGGAGTTTCAGAAACAGGAGACCTCGCAGTTGTATGGCCTTCTGGCGCAATCCAGGGACCCCTTAAACAAACAGCCCTATCTCAGGTGTGAGGGGTCGAACTTCGGATCGAGAGATCCGGAGCAACGATGACAATACGAAGAGTCACCATGACAACAATTAGCGGCAATAATAAGGATAGCAAGAAGAAGACGCAGAAGAAGAACATGCACTATTTGGGATCGCACTTTCGAATTTCGGCCCAGCCTTCCAAGAGGGTCAGGTTCTCGAGGCTCCCATAACCCTGGAAGAGTTTCGGGCTTGGGGGTTTAAGGTTTAGGGCTTAGATTTCCCGAATACCTTAAATACTTTAAGCTGAAGCCTCTCAGTCTAATGCAGACTCGTGGGTGTGCAGGGTGATGAAACCTGGGCCCAGAGTGGATGAGTTCCCGTCGTTTGTTGTCCTTAGATGCGGTTTTGCGGGGGCCCCCTCGAAAGCTTCATGCCCAGTTGCTGTCTCAGAATGCAGCTCGGAAAGGTACCGGCAAGAGTGCATTGGTCGAGGACTACCTGCAAAGGATGCGCTTTCCGCACCTGGGACCCAAAGTAGTGCGGACAAGTCCTTGTGGCAGTTCAGAGCTGTTAGCAGTGAGCCCCCAGCAGAGCTGGATCTGCGTCCCATTTGCACTCGAAGCCCAAAAAACCCTAAGACCCTTATACCCTTGACCCTGAACCCTAATACCCTTGTGTACACCTAACCCTAAACCCAAAACCCTAATACCCCTATACCCTTAACCCAAAACTCAAAACCCTAATACCCTTATACCATCGACCCAAAACCTTCATACCTTAATACCCTTATACCCTTATATTATACCCTAATACCCTGATACCCTTATACCCTTAGCCCTAAACCCAAAACCCGACTACCCTTATACCCTTGACCCTAAACCCTAATACCCTTGTACACCTAGCCCAACACCCTCAGCCAAGCCAAGGTACGTGAAGCTCAGTGGTCTCGGCAGCAGCCTCGGCCTGCCCGATCCGAAGGATTTTGGAGTTGCCAGAAAACCGGCAAACACATAAATGTCTAAGTGCCTAAAAAACACAAGAAAATACGTAGGTACATATATGTATGTATATGTGTATGTATATACGTATATATGTATACGTACATAATATAGATAGCGGCTTCGGGTTCATAGGGTTTGTAGGTTTTACAGGGTTTAGTTAGGGGTTTCTGGTCTAGGGTCCAGAAGCTGAATGTTTTAACACCATATTCTTCAGGGTTCCTGGTATTGATTATAGATTATACCCCCGAAACGCTACTATACGGGTGCGCGCTTTTGGACCCTGGATTGTTGGGTTCGTTTAAAGTAGAATGCCCCCCCTCTAAGTAAAATGTCCCGACTTATAAGAAGCCTGCCAGGGAAGTTAAGACCTTCGCCAGCTTTCGGTGCAGAGGGTTGCTTGGCACGCTGTAGTGCTCCAAGGCGGCTGTGAGAACTAGGTCCGGTGATGCTGCCTCTGTTTGGAGCCCAGTCTCCCCAGGTCCCGAATAGCTTGCTACAGCGACCCGTCGCCTTAGGCCCCGCAGTGCAACCCTTCGCCCTAACCATGGTCCACTACTGCAACCCCTTGGGTAAACCTTGACCCTTGGATTCTAAACCCTTAACCCAGATGCGACAGGAAGAAAAGGGGCGATTAATAACTGATACTACGAATAAATAGCAACAATACTAACTGGCAATACTACAAATCAGAATCATCAGACTAAGCATGAACTTTGAGCCTTTAAGCAAAGGCCTCACTCAGGTGTGGCCAACCGGGCTGAAGCACACCAGCAGCTTGTGGGTCGCCTGTGCGGAGCTGAAGGGGATCTTCTTGAGGTGCTTGGGTTTAGGGGTTTTGGGGGTTTAGGGGTTTTGGGGGTTTAGGGTTTAAGGGTTTTTGGGATTTCGGGGGTTTAGGGTTTAGGGATTAACTGGAGGTTTAGACTTTATGAGTTTATGGTTAAGGATTCTCGGGATCAACTGGGGGGTTTAGACTTCATGAGTTTGGGGTTCAGGTGTCTCTTGTCCAAGACTGTCTTTGGGCATCTAAGCGGGATTCTTGCCGATTGATGGAGTCACCCAAAGCAAACAAAGTAGCTCCCCAAACCTTAAAGCAACTCTCAGACCGAAGACCTTTCTCCCTAAGCCCCAAGCGCGTGACACCTCATACCTTGAGCCTCTAAACCCCAACGCAAACCCCCAAGGCCCTAAACCCCGAACCCCTCCCCTAAACCCCTAAAGCCTCTAGTGCACACTAACGTGCCCGGGTTTTCTCAGCACCTGCGCTGCCATCAAGCAGCAGCGGTCGGCGAAGTCAGAGCTTGAAAGCCGCCGCCCGAGTCTTCAGGTGATTCTCAAGCCATCTCGCACTGTGATGTTCGCGTCAGCATCCTTGCGTCAAGCAGGGTACCCTGAGCCCAGAGCCAAGAACCGCTCAGCAAACTAGCGACTCTCGAGGCTTGGACCCTGCATCTGTCCCGAAGCACTTGCGTCAACTGGATCAACTGCAGGCCTGGGTATCTTTTCCAGGGCTGATATTGCTTTCGGGCTTGGTGGTGTAAGCTCAGTGAACCTTGTTTAGACTTGATGAAGAACTGGTCACATTGGTGATGCTGAAACTGGTTCGTTGGTTTAGGGTTTTAGGTCTCAAGCGTGTCTTCATGTCGACTCGACTCGTCTGAGAGAATTTTCTTGATATTTCTTTAGCATCTTTGTTTCTGGACACTGCAATCGTGCTCACGTCGCCCGTCGTTTCTTATGCATGTGATGCTGTGCCATCAGAGAGATGACTCCCCGGGATCATGTGTTCAAAATCCCAAGCTCTACACCCCCAATACGCCACAAGCCGATGAACCCGCAGCCTCTGAAGTCCGACAGCAATAGGGAGTCTAGTCGTTCGGTTGCTGTCTTCAACACGAGGCCCTCCATCATATTCGTGTTCAGGCATGAAGGGGGTTTCGGGTACTTATTAGTATTAGTATTCGTATTAGTATTAGTATTAGTATGAATATTAATATTAGTATTATGGGTTTAGGGCATTTTCAGGATTTGGGGGGCCCTCCCCAAGGCCCGAATCTGGATGATCCGTGGAGCGGCAGGCAGCCCTGGACGTCCCCTTAGCCACGCTGGATCGCTTGTGTTGTCCGAAGGCCGGAAAGGGCGGGGGATGTGGATTCTTGAGGGGTTGACGTTTTAGGGTTTCGGAGTTTCGGCTTCAGGCTTCAGGAATTGAAGCCGCACGACGTCGAGCTTCCCGGTCCCGATGATGCGGCTTGTTGTATTTACTGCTACAATCAATATAAGTTTGGGTAGTATGGTACAGATGATGGGCTGAAGTCTTTTAAATTTCAAAAATGTGGAACCGGAAATCATATAATTATGTAGGCGGAGTGGGTAATGCGTTAAGTGTTAAGTAGACGATAGGTCTAGGGTTTAGGGTTTACGTTCAGTTCCAGTGCGCGCAAGAACTTCCTCGACCCCTCAAGTTCGCCCGCGCACGGGACGGGGGCAGGTGATCATCGTGCTGGACCACGTCGAGGCGCACTCCCAACCGAAGGGCCAAACATGCCTGCACGGTGTCTGCACCAAAATACATGAAAGTTTCTTGTAAATTGTAAGCACATGTGTATACATATGTACACGCATATCTATCTATCTATCTGGGAATCTATGTGAAGCTTTCCAAATCTATCTGTCTGTTTGTCTATCTATCTGTACATACCAGTGTATGTATATGTATATGTATATGTATATGTATATGTATATGTATATGTATATGTATATGTATATGTATATGTACGTGTATGTGTATATGTATATGTGGATATATGTATATATATATATGTATATGTATATGTATATATGCATGTATGCGCATGTATACCCCCCAACAACAAACTCGTTAGTTCGGTAGCTAACTGACTAACTCACAAACTAGCTGACGGATTGATCACAAACTAGCTGACGGATTGATTGACTAGCTAAGCGACAAACTAGCTGTTTGTCAGCGAGGACGTGAACTGTTAACTTAACCAGAGAATGAACCTGACCAGAGAATGAACCTGCCACCAGATGGGTAAAGATGCCTCCGCCAACTGGAACGACAGAGTACAAATGGAAGTTCATGGCGAGCAGCGGCGTGAATTCTGGTTAAAATTGATGCTGGGCTTAGATCTAGCTATGTGTTAGTCAATGGGTTAAGAAATGACAGGAACAACTAACTAGTTCATCAGCTAAGAAGCTGACTACCTAATGCATCATCAACTCATTAAGTGATTAGCTTATTCAGTGATGAGTTAAGTGAATGGGCCAGTGTAATTGACCAGTCAACCACAAGACAGACTCTTAAAGTTAAGTCTGGTGTATATCTTATGAGTGGTCTTGTAATCCCATGAATAAACCAGATTGGTTACACGATGAGCTCGTGTAACACCTAACTAACTAGTTGTTTCATGATTTAGAATCAACCAACTCCTTGCCATTGAACGGAAAATGGAAAATGCATGATTTGCTTACAGCTTCCACCCAACCCTGAACCCACAAGCGCTTCTCCGTCGTTGATGGGGTAAGCACTGCAACCCTAGACCAGAGCTTGTTTCTCTTTTTTCGACTTGGGCACCAAGCGCCCAGCCAGGAGCTTTGCCACCGCATTGGCAAGGAGGGGCTGGAGCTCTTGATGAAGCTCCCCGAGGCAAGACTCCGAACTTTGATCCTCGTGGAAGTAACAGGTTTCAAGGAAACTGCACAGGTCCTTGGACCGCTTGAACACCATCACGACCATGTAGACTGCTTTGTTTAGCTTCGCTGCCAATCACCATCAGTAGCACCATTGACAGTCTGCTCAAAATATCCGGCAAAACTCTCCAGACCCTTTACCCCGAACCACTCAAAGCCTCAACCCCAAGCCCTACCCCTCAACTGTACTTCCTTACATTCTGCTCCGTTAGCCCTACTTCCTAAACCGTACTCTTGTAAGCCACCTACTCGCACCCTTGCATTCAAGAGTCCTACTCCCTGAACCCTACGCTCTGAACCTTACAGCCCACAAGCCTACTCTTGAAACCCGGCTTCCTTTTCAAGACCTGGGGAGACGCTGAGGGCCAGCAGAGCTTCATATGATTATCATTACCATGGTTATTGAATATGCTAAGACCAAGACGAATACTAATATTCATACTAATACAGATACAGATACTATTATTCTGATACCCTACTTTAGTATGTTTATCCCCTAGACCGGCGGGCTCCCGACCTTCCACCGAAGACGCTGCCCCGTCGCGGCTCCATGCTTTCCCTGGTGCTCATCGGTCGGCAGCCTCTCTCCGGTCACGAGCCCAGAGTGGTTTAAGGTTTTAGGGTTTAAGGGTTCAGGGTTTAGGGTTTAAGGGTTCAAGGTTTAGGGTTTAGGGTTACAGAGGTTAAGGGGCAGAGGTCGTGCACTACCGGCGGCTCATCAACACTTGATGCTGCAGCATGCTGTAGTTGCTTGACTTGTAACCCTGCTATGGCTACCCGTGAACCCTCAAGTATGTATTCATGTACTTCATGACTCTCACGACTTGCTTTTTCAGCAGTGGGTGATGGTAATTCTCATTGGAAGGTAGCCTGCATATGTCGGTTCTTGCGAAACAAAGATTCAGACCTAATCTTCTTACGCAGGCATTTAAAGCAACCCTAAAATTATGCAATTCAGACTCGGCTACAGGCATTCCTCAAAAGCTAGTAGCAAAATCTGCCACAATCAGAATCCCAAGCCAAACCATTCAAGTCCAGAACCCAAACCATACTCCGAAACGCTAGTGATACTACCACCATTCTGATTGCAATTATCTTTGCTAATATTGTTACTGTTTGCACTATCAGAAAGTATTACGACTATCCTGATGATTCTGATTATCATTTCCGCGTTTTCTATTATGTTTGATACCATTAATCTACTTCAGTAGTGTTATCATGAGCACCGCCGCATGCTCATTATGATAGTTACCATTGTCATTACTTCAAGTAATGGCTTTGAGTACTAAGTTGCTAGGTGTTTGTGTTGCGAATCGTCTTCATCGGAGGCCAAAAGGGGTTTTAGCATATGGGGTTTAGTAGGGACTAGGGTTCCCATATTCGGGTTCATATTAAGGAATCCCTACCCCAAGAATCTTAAACCCCCCTTTTGGCCTCCCATCACGTCTGTCACTCAGGTGTCTCGTTGCGGGCTCGGCCATCTGAGGTTTGCTTTCCTTCGTGCGCCATGAGAGATGGCCTCGGAAATTGGCGTCTGGCCTTTTTTTGGGGCCAGGGTTTTACTATAGGGGCCTTACTTAACAGTTACCAATACTATCTTGGTGGTTTCTTATTGTGATTATAGCATTATGGGCCCAAAACCCTATTCTAGTTATTAGGGCCCCTATCGTAGGTGTTTTCTTGCTTTAGGGATTTTGTTTTTTGGGGCTTCCGGGCTGTTGGGCTCTTGGGATGCAGAGCTCAAAGGTTCCAGGGCTTCAGAGGGGATCTAAGGGTTGACGCCTTAAACCCTGAACCCCAAACCCAAACCCCTGAAACCCTAAACTCTAAACTCTAAACCCAAACCTGAAACCCAAACCCCTGAAACCCTAAACCCCAAACCCTAAACCCAGACCCCTGAAACCCTAAACCCCGAACCCTAACCTCCAAACTTCGGCCCTTTTGGCCCACAGCCCACGTTCGCGAGCCGAACCTGGGGCCGAAACGGATGACGAGGCAAAGGCTTTCTGGGGTTCAAGCTTTAGGGTTTAGGGTTCAGGGTTTTAGGGTTTGGGGTTCAGGGTTTTAGGGTTTAAACCCTAAACCCCTAAACCCCTAAAGCCCTAAACCCCTAAACCCTAAACCCCTATGGAGCTGGGCGTGAGGATCGAGGGGGGCGTACTTGGAGGATCATGGGAATCATGGAAATCAGTAAGTAAGGTTATAAGTAGTACCTTGATTGCGGCTATAAGTCTAGTTACCCGAATTAGAACCCTAGTTACTAAGTCCCATGATCCTTTAAGTTGGGGGGACATTTTTTGTTGTTCTGCTGTTGAGCCAGAATATGGCCAGTGGTACGCGAAGAGCATGTTCGAGGAAGCAAGGCTTACCTTAAACCACCGGAGTCAAAAAAAGAAGAACGCCAGAGAGCACGAAGAGCAGTAAAGGCAAGAATAGAGATATACGTGCAGATACTGTATGACTGACACCCTAGCCCAAAATTCATTCAAGAAGAACGAAGCCATGCCAAAGCCCAAACCGAAAACTCTCAGTCCTAAAGAAGGCCATGGTATGGTCCTGCCGGGCTTTCCTCCTCGTGGGGCTCTGCAAGGCTTAAGCGCGGTAGATTTCAGGGATGAGGGGGGTTTAGGGTTTAGGGTTGGTGTGGAGTTTTTGGATTGTGGCACTTGGAGGGTTCAGGGTTGGTAGCTTATATAGTAGGTAGGTATCAGATGGGACAGCTGATGTGGTGTGTTGGGGTTTCTCAAGCCAGGTATCGGAGTCTTGTAGGCGGGGGCTGAGCCTTTGGAGGTGTTGCCGCTTTTTGGGTTTGGAGTTTTGGGCTTCAGGTTTTGGGGTTGAGGCTTTAGGTTTGCCACTAGGTAGCGCAGGGTCTGGGAAGAGGTCTCGCGCCAGCAGGTATCTGATCTCCAAACCGTGGGCAAGCAATGTAACACGTATGGGGTGTGCATGTATCGCAGTCACTCACTGCAGTGCAATACTTACATAATCTGCGTATATACATATGTATGCATGTGTTTGCTCCACTTGGTTCCAGAGCTCGTGCATCTGTTGTCGAACACAGAATTTAGCCAATTTCCCGCATGCACACACAGAAGTCTGCTTGTACATAGGCCCAAAGTATCCCAAACCGCCAGCAGCCGGAACATTGGAAGGTCACTCCCGGCATTGGCCAGGCGAGGCCTCACCATGAGCTGGGATGAACTTGTTTTTTTGGGGAAGGGGGGGAGGAAGGTTTAAGGGTGGGGGGTCAGGGTTTAAGGGGGTTTAGGGTTAAAGACTTCAGAGGTGGGTAAACTACATGGCTTGTGGTGCTTGCAGTTTTCGGAAACAAAGACAGGCAAACGAAGGGGCTCTGAAGCTCGGAACTCTCGTTTCTGAGCCCACTTAACCCTAAGACACCCTTAGACCCTACATCCCTAAGCCCTAAGCCCCCAATCGCTAAACCCCAAAGACTAAGCTCTCTAAACTCCTTCAGTCAAGAGGTGGTCTTTCACTGCTCAGTGGACCGAGACTCGGCCAATGCTGCCTGGCTTCGCCCTCAGGAAGGGAGCTAAGAATACAGAAGCTTGGCATCGCAAAGGGGGATACAATGCAAAATGATTTGGTATAGTATAGCATAGTTTAGCATAGTATAAGATACTGTAAGACAAAATGGAGGGCACCGTGAAACTGAACCGAGCAGCTTGTTGTATTTCAGCAGCGAACAGACTCTCTGCCCAGGTCTCGTGAGAAGAGGGCCTGGTGCTGCGAGCACGAAGGGATCGCATGTGAGGCCGCTCTCCACTTGCATAGGGAGGTTTCCTTAGTCCTTGGGCTGCCTTCGACATAAGCCATGCTCCATGGCTTGGGCGAGTTTTTTGTTGCGCGCATTCGGCTCTGTGAGATCTTCGTCCACATCCTCGTCCGTAAAGGGTAACGTAGAACGGTACGTGGCTCCTCCTTAGCCCTAAGCCCGAAGTGGTCCTACATACAAGAAGCATGCCAGTCTTGAAGAAAGGTTTATAGCGCAGAGGCTACAACTGCCGCTACCGGAAGTGCCACCGCAACCACTGCGACTGCAATTCCCACACCACTGCTTCTGCTCTTCTTGCCGTTCTTTTTGTTGGGGCTGCCGTTCTTAAGTCTCGTCATCCACTGATGCTGCCGCGGCCACGAACGGCCTGCCTAGTGCTCTTGACATGAGCGCTGGTGGCAATCATCGTCTGTCAGGAAGAGTTCCACTGCGACGTTGCCATCGGGAACTACCAGCTGGCCTGGCGCTTGCCTCAGACACGACTGCAGGCCCTAGACCCGAGTCGAAGCCTCCGACGCTTGAACCCCGTAATGCGGAAAATTGCGGAAACCATATCATCAAGTCACCGCGTCAGGGATCTATAGTAAATAATGGGGTTTCCTCACTGTGGCAACGGAGAAGGGATCATTGCAGTTTGTCCGATCACACATGGTCCGAGGTCGCTGGCGAAGAAGAGGTATTGCTGCAAGCATGCAGGTTTCGGCTGTGAGGCCAGGCCTCTCACATGCTGTGATATTGCACGATCTTTCAATGTACTACATTGGATTCTACTCTATATTCCGTGAGCTTCTGCTGCTTGAGCCGCCCACCCGAGAAGTCCAACCCAATATAATCCTTCATCAGTGCAACATGAAGCAGGCTCGTAACAATATACCCCGGGGAGTCCCTATAAAACCCCGGGGAGTCCCTATAAAAACATGGGACTAATATACCCCGAGCCCTATTTCTAAGGACTTAGGGCCCTATTATTATAGTAAAGATGGGTTCGCCCATATTAGCCCCAAACCTCAGGGGAGCTAAAAGTGGGAATCCCGATCGGAAACCTTGGCGCTTTGGGGTTTATGGTTCAGGGGAGTAGCATTTCGGGGTGGGGATTCAGTGATTTAGGCATTTGGGGGTTGGGGTTTGGGCTAAAGCCTGCAAATCCAGAACTTCCAAACACTGTATCGAAGCAGATGAACAGAAGCCTGAACCTCACGCAGAAACTACTCGTGGTTCGACATGCAGGAGATGTTGCTGAAAGGTCTTCTACAGCCTGGACTCTTACACAGGGCTCGCATCGCCGAAGATGGCATAGAAGCCTGATGAAGCGCTTACTTGGAGGATCATGGGACTAGTAAGTAAGGTTATAAGTACCTCAATTTGGGTTTTCAGTATAGTTGCCCAATTATAACCCTAGCTACTAAGTCCCATGATCCTTTAAGTAGGGACCCAAATGAAAGACGTCTATGAAAGCCCTCTGAAGAGATCCGGCATCCTACGGGCGGCTTGCAAAACCTGGCTGCCTGAAAACCTCACAAGTTTGCATGAACCTTATGACCTCAACCAGAGAGTTTACAATAATCTACTCTATACTACAATCTACGGCTACATACGGTTATTTGGTCGTGTAGTATAAGATACGATAATTTTGGCCCCAAAAGCATGGCGCCCGAAGCCAAGGCGAGAGTAGAGCTGCGGTTTCGGGCTTAGGGCTCCAGTAGGTTTACAGTTGTAAAGCGAGGCCGAAAGTTCAAAGCCCTGCGCGCGAAGCCTTAGCCCGACGTCACACAAGACCTTCAACACGCGAGGCCTAAACCCCCTGTGCCCAGGGACTTCCGGACGAGCTTCTGCCCCTGACGACGCGGGCACCCCAAGTGGATCCAGGCCGGTTCTTGACTGAAGATTAAGTTATATATATATATATATATATATATATATATATCGTATATACAGTACATTCATTCGTACATGCACAAGTGGACTTTTGTCGTGGCTCGGCTGCGGTTGAAGCTTCATGTTGCCGCAATCGCACCGACGCATACACGCAGATTCTAAAGCATGTTTCTGCCCATACTATGGGCAGGCAGTTATACGCACTTCAATGCGACTCTACATGGATCACTATGCCTGTCAACGCTTACCCAAGCAATGAACAGGCTGGAGCCCTTGAGTTTCTAGTAAGGCTGTGCCCTGAACACTGCCGACCCTTGCGATGCATCATCGAAGTGGTTGCCGAAACTCCTTCAGTTTGGGGAGGTGTCGGGGTTGGCAGCAGGTCGTACATGGTGCTTGTTGTTGGTTTCTCGTTGTGTTCCACATCGCTGGCCCTTACTGCATTAGGTGGGGTGCCTGAAAATCTCCGGCATGAGGGTTGTTCCGCATGGGGGTCCTTGCATGCTAGTCTTTGCTACAACGAAATGCGGTGCCTGAAAGAGCAACGTCTTTCAATAACGGTAGCACCCCCTCCTTAACCCCCAAAGATAATACCCAGCACCCAGCACCCTAAATCCTAAACCCTAAACCCAGCTTTTGACTGGCTCGAAGATTCAGAATTCAGAGCCTGTGCTGCTGTGCTGCAGGTAACCTACTGGCAAAGGCTCCAGTGGCGATGTGGCCAAAGGAGGAAGGCAGCGAGCTTAGGATTTCTGGACCGTTTTAGGGTTTAGGGTTTAGAGGTTTTGGGTTTAGGGTTCAAGAGTGAGCGGTGACGACGCCATGCTAAGTCACTTGAAGTCGTGAAAGTCAGCCCAGTCACTTTCCCGACAGGTGCCGATGCGGTTGAGCCTGACGAGGACGGCATCTTCGATGGTTGCATGAACTTCGCGAAATTGATTGCCAGTTGCTAGTGCAGCTAGGAACGAGCTGTTTCCGGTGCGTGGAGATCGAGATTGATGGGCATCGATGGCCGATACCGGGCATTTCCTGCATACTGAACTGTAGGATCATTGCTCGCGATGCTAAGATCGCACTTGACAGAATATGAATTGGCTCGGAGATACATAGCGATGGTCCAGTTCAGGAGGGGAAGGAGTCTTCGAAGGCGGTAGCGACAGAAGACGAAAGAATAGTGGAAGCAGCACCTCCTCCCTGCTCCTTGCACCAGTACAACCCTGCTATAGACACTGTGCAGGATGTCTTGATGCCCTGCGACGACATCTCTCGCCGAGGGCTTTTTGTGGGAACAGTGAGGCAGAAAGTAGTGGGCCAGTGCTTTTCGATGAGAGCTAATTGCAGCTGCGTCAAAGTCACGTCCTACATCGTTTTCAGTCTGCTACTGAACCTTGATATTAGCGTTCCGAAATTGGGGGACCCTGATATAGTATGATATAGTACCCTAAACAGTAGGATCCTTATTATAAGGAACCAGAACAAGGTACCCCTAATTTTCGGAAATTCCCATACAGGGATTTCTGATTCATCCCTGCCAGGCGTAGCGAAGGGCAAGCTTGCTGGGAGATCTGCATGGAGGACTTCAACGGTTGATGATATAAATCCTGCATTACCTTAAGACCCTAAACTATGGGAATTATGGTATATTCCTTAATATGGGTCATGCAGGATTTATATCATCAACCGAAGCATCGCCAGCTCTAGGCCTAAAGCTCAGGCTCCAAATCCTAAACCCCTGCCCCCCTTCCCTTAAGCCGCACGTAACCAGCAAATCCTGTCGAAACCCTTACAGAGCCCAAAGCCCTTCTGGTACGACTCTCTGAAGGAGAGCCTTGAAGATCCAAGCCCCCCAAAAACAAGGTCCTGGCATGCCTGAAGCACTCACGGCCTACGTACCCTACAAGCAGGAACTATCAACCCAAATGCGGCTAAAACCCTGAAGCCCAAAAAGGCTCTAAAGCCCCATTAAAGGCCTGAACCCTCGCCCCAACCCCCCAAGACCTCAAGCCGGAGCCTCCATGAGGGCTTTAGGTCTTTGGTCTGCAGCTTCTGGTTTTGATACTATCTAGGTGGCAATTGGGGGAATTTTTAATTTCCCTTTATGGTTCCTATAGAGGTACCTATTCATAAATAGTTTTCAGAGCCCCAAAACTACAACCCAGCTGTCGCAACCGTGCCTTGAGAAGGTGTATCGCCCAGTTCTGGTATTCATGGAGAGCTCCCGGGCTTTCGGTGTACTTGGAGGATCATGGGACTTAGTAAATCAGGTTATAAGTAGCTTAATGGGGGGTATAAGTATAGTTACCCTAATGATAACCTTAGTTACTAGTCCCATGATCCTTCAAGTACCCTTTGAACGATGGAAAGGGGTGGTGCTATGAGCGGTAGTATGAGCAGCAGTGACAGCAGCAACAACGACGGTGATAAAGGAAGCTTCACCTGTTTCTGGAAAGTGGAAGCAGGAGAATTGGCGCATGTGGCTCGCGCCGTGGCTCGCGCTGCTGCTGCTCCTCGTGCTTTGGATCCTGGCATTCTGGCAGGCACCAAATCACTGCATCATAGCTAGACAGGAACAAACGCACATTATACTCAATCTACAAATAAGCAGCTGAATAGGCTGTGACGCATTCCATACAGACCGTTCTTTGTAAGATTACACTCAGTATGCTCTTCGATGAGGGTTCAGGAAGTTCAGGACTCATGGTTCCGAACCTCTTGAAGTTTGATCCCTGAGCGGAACGCTCAAAGCCCCTCCTAAACCACCGAAACCTCAACCTGAGCCAACCATCCTAAACACAGGAGGCACTAGCAGTCAACACCAAACCACCCCAAACGTAAGAAGAGTTAATGCCTATACATAAATAAGTACACATATGTAGATGTATGTATGCATGCACACATGGTAAGTAAGTAAGTAAGTATGTATGTATGTATGTATGTGTGTGTGTATGTATGTATGTATGCATGTGTACATATACACGCATAAATGCATACATACATACATATATATATATATATATACATGTTTATATATATATATATATATACATGTGTATATATATATACACACACATATGATGAAGGCCTGCTGCGCCGCATGCTGCTGCTGCTGTCGCTTGAAGCGCGAGCCGGCAACAGGAGAGTCCTGGGCGGGGATCCCAGGATGAGGTTTTAAGAATAGGGTTTAGGGTGTTTTGTTGGGTTTTTGATGTGGGGTCTGAAGGGCTTTAATGGATCAAAACGTAGGGTTTAGAAGTTTAGGGTTTAATGCCCAGATTTTTTGAGTTTATGGTTCAGGGTCCAGGGCTTAGGTTTTAAGGTCTAGTGATTTTGGGAGCAAGTTTCTTTAAACTGAAGAAAGGCAAGCCGCGGGGAGGAAGAGCTTTGGCCATGATAAGACCGGTGTCCCTAAACCCTAAACCGGTTGCTTGTTATGATATATTCAATGTTCTTGAGCGAGGAGTTCTTTGTGACAAGTACGACTGTCTTGATGATTTCGAACACAAGCAGCAGCATGGGTATCAGCGTCATCATGGTTGCAATGGTTGTTGTGACATGTGTCGTATCCTTGCTTGACAATCATACATATGACCATGATTTCGATCCATCCATATCCGCCTTCCTCGCCGAGTCCGCAGCCGCGGCCTAAAAAGCAGCCTGGGAGGGAACTGGGCTGTTTAAGGTACCATACTAAGCAAACCATCTGTTGTGCTAAACCCTACACCCTGTATCCCAAACTGCAAACCGCAACATACTCCTTTCCATGGCGGGCGTTCAGGCATTTACGGCGGTGGGAAGGCCTAAGGCCTGTAGAACTATCGTAACTCCAAGCCCTGGGCGCAGCATCTCTCCAAGCAAGGCGAAGCAATGCCCCCGAACTACGACACGTAAAGGATCATGGGACTTAGTAACCAGGGTTATGATTAATTAAGGGTGACTACACTTATAGCCCCAATCAAGGCACTTTTGCCTTACTTACTAAGTCCCATGATCCTCACTTGGAGGATCATGGGACTTAGTCAGTAAGGTTATAAGTACCTTAATTGGGGTTGTAAGTATAGTTACCCTAATTATAACCCTAGTTACTAAGTCCCATGATCCTTCAAAGTATGTTAAGAACTCTCTTATAGACCCCGTATAGATCCCTTTTAAGGAGCCCTTTAAGGAACCCCTATAGTTACTAAGTCCCATGATCCTTTAAGTATGTTACACCCTAAGACCCCGATAGCAGAGGCCCGGCGTTTAGTGTTAGCGAGCCGGTTCTGGTACCAGGCCCGGTTCAGGGTTCCGGATGTGAGGTGTGTTAGGGATGAGAGGTTCATCGGACTATAGCTTACTATACAGGGATTATAGGGATTGAATGTTTAGGGTTTAAGGGTTTCGGGGTTTAGGGTTTAGGGTTTCGGGGTGGCAGTTTCTTGGCTTAGGAACTACGGATTTATGGATTAGGCAGTCAGAGGTTCATATCCATGTACTGGTCTAAGCGTCACCTTCTTCAGAGCTCACAGTTTCGGATTTCAGGTTCCCGGGTTTGAGACTCAGATGTCGGGTTCCAGGCCTGAAGAACTTTGGGTGAGGGTTTAGGGTTCTTGGAGGATCATGGGACTTAGTAAGTAAGGTTATAAGTACCTTAGTTGGGGTCATAGGGATAGTTACCCTAAGCATAGCCCTAGTTACTAAGTCCCATGAGCCTTTCAGTAAGGTGAAGAGGTTTGCTGCAGGCTTTACTTTCGTTCTGTCAACCTTGTGAATGGTGGGCGTTGGGATTAGACAGGCATGTACGAGGCTTAAGGTTCCCGGTATGGTCGCCGGTATGCTGGAGACTGTTGGGGTCAAGAGCTTTGCTGGATCCTGAATCCTTTGTACCAGACACGCACGCACGACACTTCAGCACAAACTGACATAAGCGGGATTATCAGCGTTGTGTAGTAGGGTGTTATACCGGTAGCATAAGGGTGGAAAACAGCAATATACTTACGGGTATTGTAAGAATACCATAACAGTCTCACAAGGTTAAACTACACGGTACATCCGACACCCGAGTCTCAATAGCGCAGCGCTTTGCAAGGCTCTAGTTGCTAGCATTGCGAGCATGTTTGCGGGTTTCAGGGCAAGTCCGTGTCGCAGGGCTCCATACCGTTGGGTGGGTTCTAGATTCAGGAATAGCTTCTGTTCGGGTCAAATTTGGGGCCCCAGAAATTGATACATCATCATTCTCCATGACCCCACCATACTTCGTGACATGGCAAGTGTTTCGGCCCCGTACTTTTCCGACAGCATAGTCACAGTCATTGTCAGTCCCCACCCCTAAACTCCTACACCCCTTACCCCTAAACCCTTCATACCCTCAAGGGTTTTCTCAAGGGGTCCTTCCTGGCGGGCTTGCATCCGTCGGGAGGCTCCCCTTGTCGCCGCCGGCTTCCTTTGGCTGGTTCTGGCAGGTCCGCAAAAGATCCTGGGTTCAGGATTTAAGGGGGTGCCGGGTGTTGGGAATCAGGGTTGAGTTTAGGACGGAGGGTTCAGGAGCAGGGAAGGCTGCGGTTGCATCTGGGAGTTTATGTGTTTCTTCCGCCGTTCGGAGTGTGTTCAGTTGCCTGCCTCTGGACGTTGTTCCCTTGGAGCACGGAGCTGTGCTTCTCGAGTTCGCTCTCCTTTCTCTTCTTGCTTTCGCATCGTGGACCCTCTCCTCAAATGAAGACACCTACAAGGTTCAGTTTGGCTCAGAGCCACAGGCAGCACCACTGGAAGGGTGTATGAGAGATGAGGCATCACTCCCTGGGTTAAGTGCTGTGAGGGTTCAGCGTGCCCAAAGTGCACATCTCGGTACCATAATGAAGCGTCCTTCATGATTGGACAGGGTTTTCGGAGGCATATCATAGTATATGGAACTTCTCGCGTGGTGCTGGCAAATATTTAAGCCCTTATCTCAGGTAAGGGGATCAGGTCTTCTCTTCTTGTTTGCCTGTTCTGCAGGCCCCGGCCTACTCATCCTGGAGATGGACAGGCAGCCAACTTACTTTGGGATTAATTCTCATCAGTAGTAGTAGTAGTAGTAGTAGTAGTAGTAGTAGTAGTAGTAGTAGCAACAGCGGCAGTAGTAGTAGCAGCAGCAGTAGGTGGTAGTAGTAGTAGTAGTAGTAGTAGTAGTAGTAGTAGTAGTAGTAGTAGTAGTAATCATCATCGTAATGAAGGCAGTATTCGGATTTAGGAGCAAGTAGCTGCATACTTCTCCCAGGTCGGCCGTCTGCTACAAAGCCTTGCTGAGTGGGCTGCTGGCGCTGCCACCACTTCCACAGTCGACATCCAAGTGGGGACCAAGCACAGACACCCACGAGCATGTGTGTGTACGCATATCTATATCTATATCTATGTCTATCTATATCTATATCTATATCTATTATATCTATAACCATATACCTGTCTGGATCTATCTCTCTCTCTATATATATGTACATGTTTATACATATATATATATATATATATATTTATTTATCTATTTATTTATTTAATTAATTATTTATTTATTTATAGATACATAATAACCTCCTAAAAGCTACATTTAGATTTGTGCAGGGTTGAGCATCATGACGGGACCATCCAAGAGTTGAGGCCCACGAGGCCCGAGACGTCAGGTAGCCTTGTTTAGGGTTGAGGGTTTAGGGTTGAGGGTCGGTTGGCCCTGAGGCGGTCCGTCTGCTCGAAATCTCATCTTGCAGATGTTGGTTCGAACAAGTTCGGCAAGCCAAAGCACCATGACGGAAAAGCTACCCTTGCTGAATCATGCAAAGGGAGCTGCCCTGGTGGCTCACCTGGCTATGGCTGCTGGAGGCCAGCTTTGCTGCTCCTAGAAACACGAAACAAAAACACCCCGGCACCAGGGGGCTGAACCCCAAAACCTGAACAACAGGGCTTATCATCATAGCTATACTACTTTATGCCCCAAGCCAAAGGGGTCTAAGCTTCGAGCCTGTGGTTCAGCTCCAGGCGGTCGGGATACCCTTTCGTTTGTGGTTAACGGGGTTTGAGGGTTTACGGTTGCAGGGTTGAGGGGTAGGGGCCTGAATAGTTAGAGTAGGGTTTTGCGGTATATTATACTTTAATCATAACACAGAACCCAAAAATACTACAGCACAGGTAATTATTACTGCCCGTATAATAAGGAAGAGACCCAGAGACTGAATCCGAATGCGAAGCCTTGCCCACGGAGACTGGGATGGAGCATCATCGACCAAAACAAACACCTATGCCTATGCCCACGGGCCACAGAAGAAGATTACGCATATGATGAGGAGGACGTAGGGCAGGGAGGACCACAATTAAGAATGACGGCAAACATCAGACTATGTAGTTGTCTCTTGGTATACCCTCCTGTCTACTTCTGGGCTTATCTGCTTGTGTAATTACCCAGCTACATATACGTATGTGTGTGCATGTACATGTACATACACACTGAGGTGGGTTAAAGTACAGTTACAAAAGACCTGAGCATGGTCTTAGGGCTTACAAGGTTAGGCTTTAGGGTTTAGGGCTTCGGGTTTCGGTTTATGTAAGATTTAGGGTTTGCCTGGGGATTTCAGAAGCCTACCGTCTTAAGGGTCGCCCGAATAGTACTGGACTGCGCAGGATAGTACAGCATAGTACAGTATGGCACAGTGTGGTAGAGCAGTGCAAGTACAGTGTAGTACGGTATGGTATGGCATGGCATGGTGGCATGGTATGTAGCACATGCATAGCACAGGTATAGTATAGAGCACACGAAGTAAAGTGTACCGTAATCTACACAAGTATAGTCTGATCAAGCAGGAGTACAAGGGAAGCATCCTGGCTTTTCTCCTAGCCTCTCTGCGGTGGATCACCGCCGAGGTGCGGAGCCCCTTCGTGCTTCAGGGTGAATGCTTTGCGGATCTGAGGTTCAGAGTTTAGGGCTCATGGGATTTAGGGTTGCTGGGATTTAGGGTTGTGGGTTCAGGGGATTCATGGTTCAGGGTTTTTGCTTGGGCATCAAGAGTGTCCGGCTTGTAGGCAAGGGTCTTGGATCCTTTTAATCGTTCAGCTCTCGCCTGTTTGCACAGACTTGCTTCGTTAAACCCTGCCGCTTATTGTTGTGTGTAAGCAAAGCTAGCATAAGCAAATTCAGTGTGGAGGCTTCGGTGAGGAAATTTGATATGATCCGAAGTGTAAATGTCTTGAAACTCAGGAAGTAGTTCCTGCAAGTTCAAGCTCTGGAACCCCAAGCCCCAGACGGGAAGCCAAGATGCACACCAGAAGCAGAGAGAACTCCACAACACAGGAGCTTAGGGTTCGTCGTCGTATAGGGTGTAGAAGAACGTCAGTGACGAGACCCTTAATCCGGTAGCTGTCTTCCCAGTCTGCCAACCTTTGGCAAGCAACCTTCATCGTGTTCTGCGAATGCAAGCTGAGTAGAAGTGAGTCCTAAAGCCAAAGAAACCCTAAACCCCGAGCCATAAAATCGGTCCAGGTAGTCGGGCGTTGCCAACGCTTTGATGTTCCAGAGGCTGTTGTCGTTGCCGATATTCATGCATGCTAATATACAGGTAAGACGAATGGCAAGTGCGTACTAGTAGCCATAGAAAATAACCAGGTTAGCAACTCGTTATCACGGTCGCCTGGGTTACTGCATCTTTGCTACAGGACGTCTTGTGGCGGCAAGCCTCCCAACTCCGATTCCGCTGTGCATGCTGACGACTGTCTTTGGTCATCTGCGGATTCTTACACCATCTCACAAGTTCGCTAACTACAAGGGCTACTAGGTACTATCAATCTGAGCTTGCCCGGTCAGTTCCTAAGCTCCAGAGACCTTAGAACTAGGAGTTTCTACGCAGCTCCCACCCAGGCCTGAACATTTTGAGGCTCACAGGAAGTCGTGACAGTCTCAATGAAGTAGTTTCTGAGCCCTTCAAAACTTCAATTCAAGCCCCCGGACTGCCAGGGATATGACTCTTACCGCCCTTTGGCGAGTCGGCATGGCGAAGACATTGACTCGGTAAGGTGGCGGGAGGCTCAGGAAGATGATGATGTGCTGAGGCGCCGGGAGTTTTCTAAGATCTAGGGACTTAGTAACTAGGGTTACAATTAGGGTAACTATACTTATAACCCCGATTAAGGTACTTATAAGCCTACTTACTATGATCCCTTAAGTATCTCAGTATCCTATCTGGGACCGTGAAGGTGCCAGATTGAGTCGTGAGAATTAAGGAATATACCTTCAGTGCTAGTAGGGATCCCTAATATGATTTAAGGTATAGTCCTTAATTGAGGGATATTGGAGTTTCTGGGGAGCTTCTAGATTTCAGGGTGCGGCTTTCGGATGCTGAGGCTCCCTGGACTGTCTTGTCGCCCGAACATGAATACACCAGATTAGCGGAAGCCCACGTCTGCGCCAAGGTGCGGCTTTTCCCAGGCCAGTTTGGCTTGGATCTCGGAAAGTGAGGCTTCTCGAGGATGGAGCTATTCAGCTATTCCTTCCATTGCTGCTGCTTGAAACATAGGCTTCAGGACTTCAGGATTGAGTAATTAAGGTTAACGGCTTGCGCAGAGCTTAGTTGCGGTGGTTCACTCGATTTGAACCAGTGCCAGTACCGTGTTTTGCTGTACATGTGGGAGTTTCCGAAAATAGGGGACCCCAATAAAGTACCCTAAATAGTAGGCTTGTTTTTTTACGGACGCCCAAAAACAAGGTACCCCCCAATTTTCGGAAACCCCCATATACCCTAAACCCTATAGATCCCTTATAGGAACCCTTAAAGGATCCCTTTAAAGTAAAAGCAGCTTCTGTTTCAGCATGCCTTGGCCAAGGAAGTGCACCAGATCCGGTTCGCCCTGCAGATGGGCTCGTCAGGGGCCCGCTCAGATAGGGTTTAGGGTTTAGGGGTTTAGGGTTTAGGTTTTTAGGGTTTAGGGTTTAGGGCAGAAGTGTGATAGTACTCGGTTTGGGGTTAGAGTTTAGGTCTTTGGAGACAATGATATTAGTAGTACGGCATCAGGGTTTAGAGTCTGGGGTGTCGGATCTTCTGGTGCCAGGGTCTAGCATTTTGGATCTAGAAGCCTGAGCAATGAACAATTCGAACTATTTCTCAGGGCTCCATATGGGTGGTTGTCAAAAAATTTGGGTCCCTTTTTGGGTCCCTAATATACTAGGGCACCTAATATTTAGGTTATATACCCAATTAAGGGCCATAATTTTGACAACCACCCATATGATAACTACGCTATAGATGATTAAGGCACCTACATTATCGCAGACTGCGAGAATTGAAACTGCGGAACCCTGACAAAACTCCAAACAGAGCAGAGTCCACATTGCCGCCCTGTGCTCTTTCAACCGTTGTCCTGGCTGGCTCCGAAACTACACACAATATTAAAACATATATATATATATATATCTGTGCAGATGACATTGTGCCGCTATATATCTGTGGGTGTTTGTGTCCTGTACCCTCTTCATGTCAGGCCCTGATCCAAATGCAAACCTCAGAACGCCGAAACCTACTCCTTCACACCCAGCTTCACACCCATAAGCTCCAAACTCTAAAGCCCAAAAAATCCTAGGACCCCTCACCCAAAACTCTAAAACCTTAAAGCCCTGAAGCCCTAAACCCTACACCCTGAAACCCCGAAACCCGAAAGCACAAACTGTAAGCTCTTGACGAAGCCTAAGCCGCAGCATCAGGTTCTTCGGTACGTGGGTGGCCATAGACTGCCTTTGCCTGGCGTCCCGAAGACGAGGGAGCTGGGGGGAAGTCCAGGATGTTATAGTCGCTTCAGAAAGCTTTCTTTCCGGGTTTGTGCACGCAGCATGAAGATTGTTATGAGGGTGTTGATCAGTTATCCTTCAGAGTTTCATGGAATATTATCAAGATGTTGTACAGTGATGCAATCAGGTCTGTATGACAATGTGGAGTCGCTTCGTAGTCACTGCGATCGCAGCAAAACTTTCTGCATATGGCCGAAGCCGAAACCATGGCAGGGCAGGTATACTCCAGGTAGCGGGCGGATTGGTGCTTTGTGTGGTGTACCATGTCAACCAAACACTCCCGATTCAGAGTTTAGGGCTGATTCAGTAGGAAGTCGGTGATCTTGATATTGCTGTCGATTGCTGCGCTGATGGTGATGACGCTCATCACCATAAGTTAAGGGTCACCACTATTACAATGATGTGGTCGATAGGGGGTTGGCGGACTGTCTTTTCTCTAACCTCAGCCGCGTGGTCCTGCCCTGAACCTAAACTCAATCGCATAACTAGGTTGGATTTTGGGACATTTCTATTTTCCTTATTTGGGCATATAAGGGAACCTATATTGAAATATTTTCAGGGTGTTTAAAGGCCAAGCCAGATAAGCTAGGTTGAAATTCTCGACTGAGGTGCTGGTCAACCTTTGCTCAGCATCGCTGCTCTTTGCCGGACGCACAGACGAAGACTGCGAGGTTCAGGGTTTACCCTGAAGCCTGAATCATCCCTCCCTGGCCCGGAACTCTTGAGATCTTGTGGGGTTTCTGATCCCGAGTATTCAGCCCGAAGGTTAGGCCCTCCCCAGAGTCAAAGGCCCGAAAGCCTGAAGCGATGCATCATCATCATCATCATCATAATCATCATCATCACCTGCTGTGACTTTGATATTCCTCTCTCATAAGTCAGAATCGGATGCCCTCCGAGCCCCTCAGGCGCGAACATCTAGACGCATCCAACCCTGAGACGTGCGTGCAATCCCACACCTTGGACACCAATCTTCTGCCACTGATCTTCTTCTCTCAATGCACTCAAAGCGAATCAGCCAAAACCCCACTTCAAAGCAAGTCAGCCCCAGCCCCAGTCACAAAAGTCCTACTTCAGAGCACGGCCGAGGCAGCGCGTTGTCTTCGTCTCGTCTTGGCGAGTCCCTCTACGTGAACCGCATCGATCTCGGCAACGGAAGGCCAGGAGAGTGGAGCTCGGAAAGGTAGATAGACCCAGAGACTCCAATATCCCTTAAATAAGGAATATACCTCAAATCATATTAGGGATCCCGGCTAATTGTAACTTAAGGTATATTCCTTATTAATCAAGGGATACTGGAGTCTCTTTGGAGCGGTTGTACTGAGGTATGTCTTTCTGAACGTACCTCCTTCCTCTCCTTCCTCTTATACTGCTGCTACTACTACATTTGCATAATTCACCCTATGCTTCCAACAGACAGGAAAACCTTGGGCGTTGACGTTGGGGTAAGGAAAGTTAGTCTGTTCGAGAATCCGGTTTGAAAGACTACATTTTTCCCGGGATAAAGACTACATTTTCCCCGCGATAGGGCCCATGCCCATGAACATTTAGCGGAATCCCAACAGCCTCAAATTCCACCGACTGGGTTATGAGACCCGTTAGCATGAACAGCTACATTTTCCTCGGCTCAGTATGAAGACCTGCCAATCCGAGCAGCCTCACTTTTTCAGGGGTTCAGCAAGAGCTTTCGTAGAGGAACGGCGGGCCCACCAACACCCCACTCACGGTTACTCACGGTTTTCTCACGGTTCCCTTTGGGGTCGAGCGGCGGCTTGTTGGCTTTGGTCGGCATTTCGGGTCGAGTGGTCGGGAAAATATGTCCGCTTCTATTTTTATGCGCTGCGAAACTGGTCGGCCAAACGTGTCCGCTTCCGTTGTTCCTGTTGTGCCGAGGGGTCGGGTAAAACCAGTTCGTTGCCATTAACATCATGGTTCAATGACTCGATTGGCCTGTCGGGTAAAATGCGATCGCTTAGGGGCAAAGTGCGGCTGTTGGGAACAGCCTGGAAAAGTATGGCCGCAGAAGCACATGACTACGTACTACTATACGTACTACTATACGTACTACTATACGTACTACTATACGTACTACTATACGTACTACTATACATACTACTATACGTACTCCTACGTACTTCCTGTACGTACTGCAACTTATCCCGGCAATTTAGAACCGCAAGCTGTTGTCAAATTCTTGGTAATCTTTCTAGTTTTTGCTAATCTTGGTAATCTTGCCGTGCGGGGAATGGGGGTTCCGGCTGGGTAATCTTCGGAATTTTGCACCACTTGCAAGCTTGGGGGAGTACCAACATCTTGGTAATCTAGGTGATTTTGCTAATTCAAGATTGCGAAGATTGCCAAGATGACCGGTCCCCCCCCTCCCAAGTGGTGCAAGTGGCTCCAGCAGTGCAAAGTGGTGCAAGATTACCAAGATGACCAAGATTACCAGGTCGATCACCCGGCATGAAAGTGCCCACGAGTGCGGAGAGCAAGGTGACCAAGATTGACCGACAATCTTGGCCCCGGCAGTGGTTCTAATTCGCCGGAACACTGTACCGATACTCGTAACGTCCTGCTAAAGTCAATCCCGGGTTTAGGTTCAGAGCTTGTTCAGGGCCCATCATGGCGCTTGCCACAAGAACCCTTTCCTCTTAATTAAGGCTTGCGCGCCTAAAAAAAACCACCGCTCGAAATGTTGACGGCGAGGAAGACAACGATGATGATGAAAATTACGATGGTCACGATGATATCGATGGCGATGGCGATGATGATAACGATGATGATGACGATGATGATAACAATCGTGGTAGCAATGATGATGACCTAGCGATCTGGCAAAGGTGACTGTGCAAAGACCTTTTGCCCCATACCTTTTCCACCCACAAACCTCAACAAACTTGCCGCGACCTTCAAAGTCATCGGCCCCACCAGTGTTTTCGCCTTCTGCCGTAAGACTAGCTTTGCAGCCCAGGTCCGGAGAATAAATTCAGGCCGGCTTTTCCCAGCACACAAAAAGCCCACTGCTCAACACATTGATGACGATGATGATAACGATGATGATGAGAATGATGAAGATGATGGTGATATCGATGGTGGCTGTGAGGATGATAGCGATGTTGACATCGATGATGATAGCACTGATGGTCGCCTAGGGCGCCCAGAAAACTGGACACGAAATCGTGTCCCGTTTTTGCTTCTGCCACAATACCGCTGGGGAAGGTCAAAACGTGCGATTTTGCTGCGCCTGCCACACTTTTGTACACTTCCCTCGGCCGCTCCTCTGTAGGTTTTGTCTTCAGGGTGGTTTTTTTAGGCGCGCGCGCCTTAATTAAGGCCCATATGTTACGAAGTTGCACCGATCAAGTTAAGCTCCGCCAGGGAAGGCCGCGTGTGGTGCCCATGGGGTTCGGACACGGCTACAGCCTCAGGCTTAAGGCTTAAGGTAAAGGGTTAGGGTTTAGGTTTAGGTAGGGTTACGGGTCAAAGGCAACGGGCGTCGGATTCAGGATGAAGGGTTAATGGGTTTGGGGCTTACGGGTTTAGGGTTAAGGGCTAGGGGTTCAGGCTGAGAAGCTGTTTCCCTGTTTCCTGCGCCGCCTTTGCCTTACTTATCAAAGTCAGCGATTGAATTCATGATGGAAGCAGGGCTGTTTGCTCTGTCCTTGTTCAACCACGC